ACTGACTCTCCCTGGGGTACAGAAACCTGAAGAAGATACAGAAGTGTGAACACACGCACCAGCAGGTTCAGGAACAGCTTCTTTCCGGCTGTTATCTGATTGTTGATTGGACTCTCTGGCCTCAAATAATGCTGTTCTTGCTAATGTTGCTCTGACCTCGCGCACACCCTGTGCAATGTAACCCTGTACACCTCTGTCTCAGTGTTTTTGATCTGCCTGTACCACTCGTAAACAAAGCTTTTCACTGTATTTCGGTACAAGTGTTAATAAATCAACGAATCAATCAGTGAATGTCACCACCGCTGCCCGTCTTGCTGTTCACAAGCTGGCATCTCAGGCCACGATCCATGGGCACTATCCACACACACCTACAGGCAATGTCCATATACAATGGTATCTCATAATTGCCAACCCATTGAGATCCTGATGGCATCTCCTGGACCCACGTGCAAGGCACTTGCATTGCAGGGTGCCCTGAGAGGCTGCAGCAAGGACACTGTGCAGGAACAAACCAGGATTGGACCAGGCTGAGTCTCGAGGCTGCTTACCCACTCTCTGAGCACTCACTCACTCACTCAGCACCTCCCTGCACACTCACAGTGTCTATATCTTGCCCTGTCTCCCATGCCATGCCATCCCTGTTGGCACTTTATGCTTCGGTAAGATCTCACAGCTATCAAGACTGTATTGAGGGCCTCTTTAGAGCAAACACACAGCCAGGCTGCTCATCAGGACAGATCGGGCTGGGTGCATGGAGCCTTTGTGCTGCAAAACCCACCCCCCCAACACTCTGAGGCATCAATCTAACACCCACAGGCAAAGCCACCAGCCCATGTAACACTGCACAGTCAACTCAACAGAATGGCTACATCGGGAACCGGGGTTGAGGGTACTAGCCCTCAGCACAATCAGTGGGTTTTGGGGTAGGGGGGTGGGAGGTGGAGAGGTTGCCGTTGGTCGGGTGGAGGGCCCTGGTACCTGTCATCTTCAGACGTCGAAGAAAATGCTGGATAAACACACAAGGGAGAAAAGACTCAAAGGATCTAGTGAAAGGGTGAGGTGAAGTGGGGGAAGGGGAAGCTCATGTGGAGCAGATACAGCAGCACACAGCATGTGGGCCGATTGGCCTGTTTCTGTGCTCGGAACTTTGTGACTACATCCATGATCCAGTAAAGGTTGGGATTCTGTGCAGATATACACTCTGGGAGATTTTGCTAAAACTGTACAAGACACCAATGTTTCCAATCCTATGTTTTTCCACCTAAAGCTTTGGTTTTTGGTTCTATCTTAAGTTCTATCTATTCTTGAATTTCCTGTTCAAAATCTAGGTTTTTTTTTCACAAGACCCTGTTACATATATGTTTATTTATTTAACCTGGAGCAATTCGATGCATTTAAACATTAGATTTTGTAACATTTCTGCATTATCGCCATTGACTAGAGAGATTTAAAAAAGACACAAGGGGCAAATATTTTACACAGAGAGCGGTTCGTGTGTGGAATGAACTTCCTGAGGAAGTGGTGGATGTGGATACAATTACAATGTTTAAAAGGCATTTAGACAGGTATATGAATAGGAAAGGTTTGCAGGGATATGGGCCAGGAGCAGGCAGGTGGGACTAGTTTGGTTTGGGATTATGTTCAGCATGAACTGGTTGGACAGAAGGGTCTGTTTCCATGCTGTATGATTCTTATGACTAAATTTATTGGCATCTCATGGTGATCACGTTGGGGCAATGTAGAATGGTTTTGTCATTGGAGTATTATCATTTTGACATTGCTCTGAAAAACAACCTGATTACTTTGTAATGTTATGGACGAGTCATACGTTAATACGATGAAAATCTAGGGATAGCCGAGATTAACACTGCGTCTATGCTTTTCAAGGCCCTAGTTAGAACACGGCTGGAATACAACAAACTGTTTCAGTTCCTTATCTAAGGAAAGACAGACCTAGCATTGGAGCCAGTCCAGAAAGGGTTCACTCGGCTGATCCCAGAAATATGGGCAGATTTTCTTACAAGAAGAGGTGGAGAAGATTCGGCCTGTACTCATTGGTGTTTAGGAATGTGAGAGGGGACCTTATTGATATATTTACAAGATTCTTAAAGGACTTGTCAGGGGGGATGTGGGAAGGTCGTTTCCGCTTGTGGGAGAGTCTAGGACCACAGGGCATTATCTCAGAATAAAGGGTCACCCTTTCAAGACAGAGATAAGGAGGAATTTCTTCTCTCAGAGGGGAGTGAATCTGTGGAAGTCTTTACCACAGAGGGCTGTCGAGGCTCGGCCATTCAGCATATTCAAGGCTGAGATAGATTTTTAATCAGAAAAGGAATTAAGGGTCATAAGAAGAGGGGAAGGAAGTGCAGTTGAGGATGATCAGATCAGCCACGATGTCATTGAAAGATAGAACCAGACTCAATGGGCTGAAGGCCCTACTTCTGCTTCTACATTTTATGGTCTAATGGTCTGTGATTGGCATGTTTGATGATGAATGGTGTGAGAGAGTGTGGGCATTACAAGAGTGGGCATTATTGACCCAATATGGGGGGAATCGGGACAATCAGAGTTGGCAGCATGGTGAGGGTGGTGGTTAATTGGTGATGGTTGGGTTGGTTATGGCTAGTTGGTGATGGTTGGGATGGTGATGTTTGGGTTTGTGATGGTTGTGTTGGCGACAGTTGGGTTGGCAATGGTTGGGTTGGTGATGGTTAGTTGGCGATGGTTAGTTGGTGATGG